GTTATGAAGTTAAAGAATAAATGCAGTAATGTGTGTTAGAGAAGTTCACAGTCTCTGTAAAATTAAGGAAGCAAAAAACCCCAGGAATCTTTTTTGTTTTAATTAATGCTCACTTGTTGGGAGTGCAATAGTTCTGCAGTTTCTATATCCATCTAATTTAGCCAGTGTATCCTGCATTCATTATTCTTGGGTTTATTTTCATGTTCTTCTGTCTACCTCTGCTTGACTCCACATCAAGATAAAATGCCTGCCTTTTTCTGCTGATATTAGAGCCATGTGCTAATACATTATCATATTTTAAAGCAAATAGTGTTTCTGTCCTACATTGGTCAATCATATTCATATTTCTTTTCTTCCCTGTCTTCCTCCCTTGCTTTCTGCCAGTTTAGTGTTGTGTCTCAGAGAATAGTTAATATTGTTTGGGTGTTTCCTGGGGCTCAGAATTGTTTATGAGAAGTAATCTTAAGTTTCAAGTGGAAAGAATTTGATCATAAAAGCAAAACTGTTTCTGTTTGAAAGGACCTTGTTTTAGCTATCTTTATTATTGAGTTTTGTTATCCCTTTTTAAATTTTCTAGACGTTTCCACTACCTCTACTATATTTTGGGAACCAAATCACGGGACTGTTCAGCACAAAGAAACTGAAGTATGGATAACTTTATTTTACTAGTGAGGTTAATATAATGTGTTCTTAAAGTTGTACGTAAATGTCAAATACTTAATGCATTGTTACTGATTCTGGAAAAAATGGAAGGACTAGAAAGTTTTTGTTACTAAATAATGAAGGTTGCACTGAAGGCTTTAGTGTAAGCTCATTTCTTTTGAAGAGAAAGAATAGTTGCTTTATCCTGTCTCATTTTGATGTTAGAGGTATTTAAAATGTTATAAAATGCTATGATAGGGGATTTTCATTATTTTCCCAGACCTGCAGTAGTGAGAGATAAAAGGCTTCTGGGATTTCTCTTCATTAATATAGTTAATTAGTACTATATTTTAGGCAGATTCCAAACAGCAAAAAAGGATGGAAATGAGAACTTTCAGTTTTTCTTCTCACATGAAATAGTTAAAATGAGATGGAACCCTGATAACAAATATGATTAATATCTTACCCACTGCCATGTAATTATAGAGGCAGCATCTTTACTTTTAGAAAGAAGCAGTAGCTCTCTCTGACTACATTGTCTATTACCCTCTAACCTTCCAGTTCCTGGCTTCTCCCCTTTGTGGTTTGTGATGTTCCACAGACACCCATAGGAAAATAGTTTGACAGAAACCCATGGCTCCACTACTTCCACATGAGCTGAAGCTCTGGCATTTTGGATAATCATGAGTAGTGAGATCTCTTGAGAATCAGTGGCATATCATTTTTCATTTCCTCCTTTTTTTAAAGCAAGTAACCTGACAGGATGGCCAGGGGTATCTCTGGGGAGAGTTCCAAGTGAGACAGATTTATTATCATGGGTGGGGCATTCTTTTCCATCTCATTACCCCACTTGGAAAGAAATGAAGGTCTGCTGTGAAATGCTGCTTATAGTTTGCTTTTTTTCCATCCATTGCCTGCCATCCATCCATCCATCCATCCATCCCCTACCTTTGTTTGCCAGCTAAATATAAGGCACTTTGTAGTGAGATAAGACATATTCAGAAATAACCATATGTTTATTAGTGCAAGCAAATTGCTCTAGGAATTTAATGGAAGACTTTCACAAAAGGACAAGCAAGGAATGCTTTATGGGGTAAGATTTTCCTACGTGTTTTGGAGTGGTCTAGTGAAGAAAGGTGATATAGGCCCTTTTACATTAAAGACTAACATCTGTATATCAGGATGTTTGTATACTTAGCAAAGTAAAATTTAAAAATACATGTATTATTTATGATGTATGATTTTTTCCATTGTATAGTTAATGTTTCTCACTTTTAGTAGTTTTTTAAAAGCAACTTTTTTAGCTTTTTAAATCATTTATTTCTAGAGAGAAGTAAGGATTTAATTTAATCAGAAGTTAATCAGCATGGAATTTCCATAGGAAAGGAAATGATTAGCATTATTTTAAATTACCAATTTGAAAAATCTTGGTTTAAAAAAATAAATTGAACTTTATTTTACCTAATCATCTTTGTTTTTGCAGCTTACCAATGTTTACAGTTTTAAGAAGGTTCTCCATCCTGTTTACAATGTTTGCTGAAGGAGTTTTACTCAAGTGAGCAAAATTTCTAATACATCTTCTCTTTAAACAACTTAAAGCACCTTGAATAGGTGCCCAGCATATGTGAGATATTAAAATTATTTGTCTTGGTTCTACTTCAGCTCTTGAGAAGTTTAAATTCTTTCCTTGCCATCAAATTGATAGTTTGTGGGAGCAGTAGTTGGGAAGGTTAAACGAGTTGGAAACCTATCTGAACTTGAGTTTTAATTTTCTACAGTTTCTGTTGTCTACTGCTGCCACTGAGTGAAGCTGGTTCAGAATCACAGTTCTAGGTTTTAAATAGCATTTATATCTTTTACTGAAAATGTGTGTTTCCTACTTAAAAAAATCCTTACTTACAAAAATGCCAACTCAATAACAAATGGTAAGAATAAGAAGAATGACTGCAATTAATTACATAGCAAATTGAGTTTTTGCTTCATCAATGAGATTCTTTTAAATATCCAGTTCCTTGGAAATATTTAAAATATAATTGTTTATGGTTTTTTTGCCCGTTATGAAATATGTCTGTACAAATAATAAAGTCACTTATATATATTTTTTTAATTATCTTATTTTGTAGGAAGACTTTTTCTTGGGGTATTCAGATGACCGTATTTGCAATGATTATTGGAGCCTTTGTAGCTGCCAGGTAAGATGAGGGCCTATAGATAGTATATTAAAAATTGTCAATACATTTTGATAGTGAATGATCAATTACCAATCAGAATAATTTTTTTGTAGCCTAAGTAAAAGTCGTGTCTTCTTCAGAAGTTAAATCTTTGGCTGTGTTAAGGTCAAGGCTGGCAAAATTCAAATTTTTGGGATTCTTAAATTCATGTAATTTAGGATTTGTTATTCTCCTGTACTTACTGAGTACATACTGTGTGCCACAAAATATTTTCAGCATTCAGCATTCAAAATATTTTCACATTATTTATGTATTCTTCATAGTGCTGAATGCTATGGGTATAATTTTCCTACTTTATAGTTAAAGGAAACTTAAAGTTCTATACTTGCTCAAGGTCACACTGCTAATAAATGCTGAAGTTTGAATGTGTGCCTGAATTCAGAGCCTATGCGATTTCATAAACCATGTGGCATTCTTTTACTTTGCAAATTTTTAAAGAAAATGGTGTCTGCTCTTTTGTGAGGTGAGGCAAATGACAATGAATACCTTGACTTATGGAATAATGAATAATATTATTGCTTTATTTGGCCTCACTTAAGATACATTACAGATGTCATTACTTAGTCTTATTAGATTACTGGAACATTCCCCCTTTTTATAAAAGTTCTAGTTTTAAAGTGTATGAGGAAAATACAAAGCAATGATAAATGTTTAAGGAGATGACTATGCTAATTGTTCCGATTTGATCATTACACATTGTGTATGTATAGAATTATCACACTATATACCCAAAATATACATGATTATTTTGCTGCAGTTTAAAAATAAATAAAGAAAAAAAATTACATGGGGAAAATGTATACCCAAAGACAGAAAATGAAAATGATCACTAGAAGCCTGATACATTTTACTCAGCCCTGGGCATGCATATATGGATTTACGGATGTCACAGATTCTACCTGACATACATTTTCATCTGGGTATTCCAATGGATGCTCATTTACTTTCATCATATCCCTGTGGTGTAATTGGGGGAAGTATAATTTAAATTCTATTTTATCTTACATCTCCAAGTGAAATTTCATTCTAAAAAAGAGAGGGTGGCAAAATTTGTTACCAGAATTTGGTTTTATAGCCAAATGTTGTATTTGTTTCCTTGGAGAAAAATTCTACACCAGGTTTCTGCCTTTCTTTTTAAAGGTGTTCTGCTAACCTCTGAACATTTTGAAGCATTTCCTTGAAGCCAGTGAGATCCAAAATTGTACAACAGGTTTATTCAGGACTCACTTTGGCCTGCAGAAAGCTTTGAGGAGGGTTTCTAACTAGCCCTGCTTAATTAGAACCTTTGGCTTGTGAAAAAGATGGAGAAGAAGAGAACCTGAAGTTAGAGTGTTGCCAGATGCTTGGATTAGGGTTGTGCATTAGGCTAGTCCTGTCTGAAACTGCAGCAGTATGCAGCTCCTCAGGTTTTGGTTCCATTTAGAAGTTCAGCTACAAGCATTGTCGTGTCTCTGCAAAGTCATAGAATGTGAGGCCACCATTTTGGCTGGGGTGCTAAAGTATGCTGAAGGCATACTTTGCTTAGATTATTCATTTATTCTATTAAATTTACAGATTTCTTATCTTGTGCTTACTACCCTATTAAGTAGCAGAGATTTTCAATTTCCCCAGTCTTACTAGTTTTACCTCATTGAGTAAGTATTTGAGTTCCTACTATGTGCCCTCTCACAACTTACTGTGATCCATACTTCAGAAATTCTGCCCAACTACCTGTGGAAGTTAGTCCCATCTTTTGCGTGAACTTTTTGAAAAATGTTATGTTAAGAACTTTTGATTTCCTTATTTGTGAAAGTGATGCCTTCTGCCTGATTTGGTCTGACTTTGAATTCAGAACAGTTTACTATTAACTGGCATAATTGATTATTCCTTATGATGTGTTTAAGCATTAGTGTTTTTGTTTCTAAAATAATCCCTGTTGAGTATGGAATTGCCAACTGTGACCAGGACTCAAGAAATACTAGTAGCTGATAAAATAACCTAATGTTCATTGAGTTGGAAAAGAAATGTTCTTGCAAATATTGTAGTTCAGACCTATTAAAAATTAAATGCATGTTCTTTAAATCTAACTTATTCTTAAAGTTTTGCTTATGTTTTGCAGCTCTGACTTGGCATTTGATCTGGAAGGATATGTTTTTATTCTGATAAACGATGTACTGACAGCAGCAAATGGTGCATACGTAAAACAAAAATTAGATTCAAAAGTAGGTAGCTATCTAAAACTTCTTTATTAGATATTTACTGATGTTGGGAATGGTAATAGCAATTCATCAGGGTAAAAAGTATGGAATAAAGAAAAATACTTAGAAGGGATGGGAGAGACATGGGGGTTCTCTGAGGGTAAATGCCTATATTCTGGTGTTCACATAAGAAAGTTTTTAAATTAGCAATTAGGTTTTATTAATGGCTTTTGGGAAGGGATTATGGGAATATTGACTTAGAGTGGGGTAGGAAGGTTACAAAGTTCATAGAGAAAAATGTCATAAATGCTCATGGCTCTGTTCTGAAGATACTTGGTAAGGGACCTGTAACAAGAGAAATATCCTGAAGCCTTTGGGCAATCTTGAAGGGAAGTGAGT